TGTGAACTTTTCGCATGAGCTCCAGCCTCATAATCCCAAAACGATTCATTGGATTCTTTTGCACTTCTCCGTCAGCCCAACCTATGTTGATGAAAAGGCTTCTTCAGTGTTTGTTTGCTCTAAACTTGTATGAATTTGTCGCCACAGCACCACGTCAGCACTAACTGGTTTCACAGCTTTCCACTGGGAAATTGTTTACTTGGGTGTGAAGTGAAAGCGACTCAACTCTCGTTAGGTTTGATCTTCAGTTACCGACTGAAGAGACACAGATCTATGAATAATTTTTGTGGTTTAATTTTAAGTTAAACGAAGCAGTCATGATGAATCCCAAAGACCGGGCTGTAATTTAAATTTAAAACAACTGGCACTAAATGGTTGTAGTTAAAATTCAGACGTGAAACCAAATATTTGGATTTGTTTTTTTGTTGTTGTTTTTCCAAATACTTTATTTATTTATTTTTTATGTTAAGAACAAAGTAGTGTGTAAAAATGTGTTAATTAATTAAAAAATATCAGCATATCATTCACACTCCAGCGCGTTGGTTAATCACAGTTAATCACTGCTCGTTGTGGTTTGATGAAGGAAAAATCCATCAAACCTTATGTCTAAAATTTGAACTAGATGTTTTTCTGTTTTCAGTATGGCTATAATTTAACCAGGGATGGAACGATTAATCGTGATTAATTAATCATTGAATTAATCGTCAATTAATTTAGTAGATTAAACATTAAACGGATTCAAGTAAACGGATTCAAAACAGCCAACTGCTGAAAGAACTACATATTGTTTATTTGCGTCCTTTAATGTATTTCTAATATTGTTACGTTCTGAAGATTTTAAACACTTAAACGTTTTTTAATACAATTTTTATGTCCGACTAATCTTAAGTGTAAACGATTAATCGATTACAAAAACGAGCCCCAAATTGGACTGAAAGGTTCAGCTCGTCGCGAAGGAGCTGCAGTTCTGTCAGAATCCGTAAAAGTCGACCTAAACGTCTCGCTAACCCCGCAGCATGATGCCGACCGCTTGAACATGCGCTAATGAACGGATGAGAAAGCTTCTTCCTCTTCTGTCCTGCAGGCATTTATCCGGCGCTGCCTGGCCTACCGCAAGGAGGACCGCTTCGACGTTCACCAGCTGTGCTCCGACTCCTACCTTCTTCCTCACATGAGACGCTCGAACTCATCCGGCTCGCTGCAGCCCACCGCCTCCACCCTGCCCACCTTCTGACCGGCGCCACCCTCAGGTCAATCTTAACGCGGGATTGTCAGAGTTGATAAATGAAATACGGACCTTTTTTTTTTTCCCTCCTCCCCCACTACGTTTCAAGAATGGACAATTTAGCAACGAGTGAAGTGGAAGAAAAATGGACAATAGAAGAAGATGGAAGGAAGTGTTTGACTGATCTTTACGATAGTGGAGAGAGAGACGGAAAGAAGAGGGAAATGGAGAAGAGAAGCCAGAAGAGAGAGAGAGTGAACCAAGTGTTTCTGCTTTAACCCTTAGAAGAATCCAAAATCAGTATATGACCTCCTCTAGTTGCACTCTATGTATAGTAGAAATGCCCAACCAGATGACTGTAAACGCAAAAGCATCTGTGAGCAGCAGCAGGCGTGGAAAAAACTCCCTTCATTTCAAACGAAACAAAAAAAAGACAGAATAAATGGCACCGACTCATCGAGTTTCCTCTGCACGCAACGGGGATTCGTTTTCAAAGTGACGTGACCCTGTCGGGGGAGGAAGGGGTCAAATTTGCACTTCCTGTCCCAATCGGAAGCAGTTGGGGTCTGCCGAAAGTGGATCTCGTCTTAAATCTTATTTTCTCCTCGTCGTCCGAGAAGTGGCGTGTTGCGACACAGTTTGGACTCCATCCGGACGCGGAGTCCGTTGTACATTTCTCACTATAGCAGATGTATTCTAACAAGGCTTTTCCCCTCTTTGCTTTCCAGGTTCCTCACCCATCTGTTTGTTTCCTCTCAAAAGCTGTTCTTCAGTTCGCTGCTATAAATGTTGCTTTTAGTTCATTTTTAATAACGGGAATGAGTTTTCACCTCGCGTCAGCCGCATACTTGAACTTTTAAAAGGAAATTTCCAGAACCTGTCGTTTCGACGGAATGACTTTGTTTTTGTTTTGTTTTTTTTCCTTCTGCAGCCAACATCAAAATGTCGTCTCAGATTTCTTTTTGCTTACTGACTTCCTTAGAAGACCTAGTGTGCTGTGTCGTGAGGAATATTCCCGCCTGTCCCCGTGCCAGAGGAGGGGAGAAAAGTTACTGCGTTTTATTAACTTCAGCTGGAAAACAAATGGATATATCCCAAAAAAAAAAAAATGTTGTCATGGTGTAAATAAAACAACTCTTACCTGTGTGGTTGTTTGTCTTCACGGCCATGCAGGGGAAATCGACCACAACACATTTGCAGACTCAAAAATATAAACCTGGATAATTTTTTTAAATATTTTTTCCCAACTCTGTTCACTTTCATTTGGAAAAATTTCAACTGTTATGACAGTTAAATGGCTGCTTAAAGCTCCAACACCACAAGGGGGCCCCCAAGAGCATCATTTGATTTCATTTTCCAGTGATTGCGCTGAAAAAACAAGACGTTAAACTTGTTTGCTGTAAGTTCAGTGCATCATCAGATGTTACTTTCATGTAGTTAAATCAATATGTTAGCATTTCAAAATGTAAAACTAATTAGAGCATTTTTGCTTGTTTTCTCCTCCCATATGGTTAAAATCAACCATATCAGCCATATTAACACCAGCAGCATTTAAGGCAATCACAAATGACACTAATAATAGTGGACATGTTGCACACGTGCCTAGGAATTAAGTATCTGATGTTGTCATATTGGAATGGGGGTTCTGAAATAAAAATCTGCTTGGGCCTTAAAAAAGCTTGGGCCGGCCCTGGTTGTCATCTCAAAGCATGTTACGTGTTTAACTCTGATTCAGTTAGAAGGGATCAACTTTTTCTTCTTAAGTAAAGCACAATCATACAGTTGGATTAAAGGGAGTGTTTTTTTTTAAGCGGTGTAATGAAAGAACGTGAAACAATAGAGGTTTGGTACCAGCATCATCAACTCTGATTGGACAGCCGTAGAATCAGTTGCATGAAATCCAGACCTGAGTCACAATAACGACACTGCAACTTCACTGCTACGGATCAAACAAAAAAACAAGGATTTCTTTTCTGCCTCTTGAATTTTTCATAAAATTTAGTGATCCATTTAATCTAAGGAGAAATAGAATGATTTCTTCTTAATCAAACTTTAAAGCTGCAGTGTGTAAACAAAGTCTTTTACATGTTTAAGTGTAACTACAGCTAATCTTAGAGAGAAAAAAAATATCAAGATCCTCTACTTCCTTCCTGTTGTCCTACTACCACCAGCAGAAATGTGCCAAGTCAGAAACAACCAATCAGAGCCAGTAGAAGCTCTGATTGGCTGCTTGTTTGCTAAAATGTACCCTACCGTGAATGCTAAGGCTGGTTAACATCACCACTGATTATGGCGGATAAACGGTGTTTGACATTAGCACATTTAGCAGTGAGTAAACGAGCTTGATTAACATCTCTAAGATGGCTTGAGTTTTTTTCTCTCAATTATGTACATTTTGGTTGTAGGTCATTTTAAAATATAAATAAATCACATTTACACTAGGTAAACTAATACATAAAATATTGGAAAAAAGAGGCACATTAACATTTTACAGTTTTACTGATAACTTGTCATCTTTTCTGTTCCTCTGTCTTGTGTATATATCCAACCATTAGATCGACTTGCAACAGTCATCCTTCCTGAATTAGCATGTAGCGGCTGTGGACCGTTGATTGCATGGTTTGTGTTGCAAGTCCTCATATTGAGCAGGCAAGTGGAAACAGGAAGTGACCTGCTGCAGACGCTGGAGCCTGAAACTCGACCGGAAGAACCTCTGCAACCTCTGTGGCTTTTTGTGTCCTTCCTAATAATGTTAGCTGAAAACGGTGACCAACAAATGTTTTTAAATGGAGAGATAAACGCGCGTGTTCTGCCATCTATTTCCAAAATAGGCCACAAAATGTAACGATCCTTTTTTTTTTTTTGTCAGTGTGGAGGCCGATTTGTTCCCACAATATTTCCTCAAATATCAACATTCCATAAAGAAAATGTTTACATCGACTTTTTTCCTGAAGTGTTTTAATTTCCCTTTACTCTTAATCCTACTAGAAATAAATATGTGGTTCTTATAAAATGATAAATATTCCATCACATTTTTGAAAATTGTACATTTTCTCCCCCAAAAAAGAAACATGCAGTTCTAAATGAGCTTTAATCAGACACAAAGCGCTTCGCAGTACAGCCATTCCAACAGATGTTGGATAAAAGTCCAGGTTTACACTATTCGTAAGTTAATGTGACTGCAGAAAGCTACTCTGGATTCTCCTCACTGACTTTTCTTTAGTTTTATTTTTGTCTGCTTTTATACAGCTGCTAATAAAGCCCAAAAGGTGCTGCTGTTGACTGAAAACGTAGAAATTAGAGCAGAAGGACGCAGATCATCTTTAATCTTGTGAATTTTGAACAAGTGCAATTCCTTTCATGGCCATGAGGAGGCACTGTTACTTTCAGATGTTAAACATTTAATTAGAAGACATTGTATAAGGTTAGATAAAATAACTAGGACCACACACGCACACAAAATCTAGTTTTAATATTAGAGTTTGAGGAAGGAAACAAAATTGGAGGGAAAAACCAATGAATTTACCTAGAAAACAAAATTATATAAGAACCCATAAATAGTGAAATTTAAGCACTATTTAAAATCCTTAATGAATATTGGAGACTTTTTAAATGACTCGTCATTTGCTGTGTGAGAATGCACCAACACTTTTAGTTTGTCGTTTTTCTCCACCGACTCAAACATTCCTCAGCTGATGTTTGACGGCGTCGAATTTCTCACGTCGGAAAAGTTACAACATTATCGAAACAATGAGAGTGAGCACTGAGACCAAGGCACAGTTTGTAAAACTCATTTGGCTTTATTGCTTGCACCGTGCATTCTGCAGACGTTTTCTCGAAAGTTTTACAGAGACTGTACTCCAACTGTGACCGACCCGAACACGGTAACCCAGCAGCAAGAACCATGACCTTTCAGCCTGTTTGCTGACATACTGTGTAATATAGAGTTCCGCCTATATGTGGGGACATACAAAGGGATCATTTCAAAACAACACAAATAAAAGTGGTGCAAAATGATGCAGATTCATTCTGGAAAACTTCAGAATTAGTAATTCAATCCGTCTAATGGTGCAGAGTGGGGGTTTGTCAGCTACTAATAAAAAGGCTGAATAATGGAGCTGGGAAACCTGGCAAAACAAACATGTTTATAGTTGTATAGATTTTTTTCTTTTTAATACAGCAGCGCAGGAGTGAGTCGTCCCATTTCATAGTCAAAAGAAATTCTGCTCATCATCCAGCCTCATTAACATGGAATGGTTATATAAAAAAAAAAAAAAGAAGAGGGTTGGTAAGGGTAAACCAGTTAGGAAAAAACTAAAAATAACTGTATACTGCAGAAGTGTGAAGCAATCTTCTCTGTACAGTAGCTTTAACGAGCTGCAGTGCTACCAGTTCTGCTGAATGACAATCCGCCAACGCAGACACTTCGGACTGATCTAGAACTACCATCCCGTCTCTTTGCCTCAGCTCTAACTGGGGCGTCGGCCGCTGTTGCGTCTCGCTGCCTGCTCTCTCCTGGCCAAATAAATAGAAAAACCACAGAAAGACAGATGGGAGAAAGAGAGAAGAACCGGCTGCGTGAAACGTTTCGCGGTGACATTACGACGGCGGTAGTGTTGTATCCGTGGGGGCCGAGGGTTCTGTGGCGACTGCCTCTGTGGTGGCGATGGCGGCCGGGGCGGTCGCCGTGACCGTGACTGAGGCGGCGACGCTAGAGGCGGGCACGAAGGGCAGAGAGGGGTTGGGGAGCAGGGGAGGGAACTGACCCATACCTGGTAGGGACAGGGGGGGCAGCTGAGCCAGAGGGGGCACTGTCAAAGATATGTTTTAAAACAACTTCAGTTAGTTCAGATTTGTTCAGAATTAAAATAATTCAATATTTAGAAAAGGAAAAGAGATAGAAAACAGAGAGCCTGGTTTTTCTGTAATCTCACCCGTCGTTGCTGCTGCTGTTGGTATGGAGCTGGAGGTTGTCAGAGAGACGGCGCTGAGGTCTGGGAGCGGCAGGTTCAGGTTGGGGAGGTTGGGGAGAGGAGGCAGCCCTCCTGGGAGAGGAGGCAGCCCTCCTGGGAGAGGAGGCAGCCCTCCTGGGAGAGGAGGCAGCCCTCCTGGGAGAGGAGGCAGCCCTCCTGGGAGAGGCATGAGACCTGGGGACGGACACGTCACACTGGCTGGGGTTCCAGAACAAATGTGCATAAATCTTCGTCAATATTCTGCTAATATCACAAAAAGATAATTGTGGCGTAAATTACAATCACACGTGAGTGAGCTTGTTCATGTGACAAGTCATTAAAAATCATGGCAGCGACTAACGGAGAAGACTACTTCCTGTCGTTGTCGTCTTCATGGTTTTTGCCAGTAGTAACACCCGGCTGTTGATCACGTAACTTGTGTGAGGCACAAAAAAAACAACAAAAAAAACAACCCGTTTCCCCATTACTGTTTTGAGAAATACATCAATTTTGTTACGGCTGAAAAACCAACTCATCCTACTGCAGGAATTTGAAAACGGAGTTTTTTTTCCCTAAATCAGCGTTTTGGATAAGCAAATTTACTTTCAATCACCTACCTGGTAGCGTTGTGGCTGGGCTGAAAGCGGCGGCGGCAGGATTCAGTGGAGGGAGGGGAGCGAAGGAGGAGCTGGAGGTGGAGGGGAGGAGAGGCACCGTGGGCAAGCCTGGAGGAAGGGAGAAACACGGAGCATCAGGAACCAAAATGCAGAGTGGACCAAATATCCAGCTGGCTACGTGAAAACAAAGGCGATACCCGTCTGCAGCTCACTGGGCATGGCGGGCGGAGCGGAGCTGATGGACAGACCGGACAGTGCATCTTCAAGGCCGGATGAGACGACGGGCGTGGAGGAAGGAGGGGTTACAGCCGAAAGCTGGACCTGCACAGGAAATGGAGGAAAGTCAGATTTATTTGTAAGATGAGTTAGAAGAGATTGGAAAAAAAAAAAAAAAAAAAGAGGGAGGAATAAATTTCCATCAGAAATTTTGAGATCTCAGAAACTTTCTAGAAAAAGTCGAAAGCATTGCTATAAAAAACTCCCCCAGAAAAAACAGAAAAAAAGGTCCAATTCAACTAAAAGTTGAACATGTCTGATGTCCTTGTTTTTCGAGAACATTCCTGAAATTGACCTCAAAATTCTGAGTTTTTTAGGAAGAACTTTTCTCCCCTTGCCCTTTTTGGGAAACAAGCAATAAACATTTCATTTTGTCAAATGCGTTGAAATCATAACGCAAATGTTCCAGTTGTCATAAATCAAAGGCAAGAGGCTAAATTTTTAGCCTCGACTTAAAGGAAGTCTGTGTTTTGGCATCTTAGCAGTTTTCTGGATGTCTGTTTCAGATTTGTGGGGGATAGTAAAGGAAAAGATGCATCAAGAAAACAGAAAATGTCCCTCAAGTTTACAATAAAAGTCAGGCACTTGGTACTAGAGTCTGTTTCAAGATTCTCCTTGTTTAAACCCATTTGACAGTGAAGCTGTCATCAGCCTGGCAGTTAACTAAAAACAGGTGATTTTTTTTAAGCTACCGTACATTTCAGTAGTTTTCAAATCCCTTGAACATTGAACATTACCACTAACTTCTATCCATATTACTCGATATGGTTGTCTTAGAAAAAAGCTCCAGTGGGACGAATACTTTTGGAAAACTGTTGATATTCAATCAGCTGTGCGGCGATTCTTAGTTGCTGCGTGTCAGAGCTGAACCATATTCACCTCTGTGAATCCGTCTTTCAGGGGACTGACTGGCTCTGTGGAGGAGTTTGCAGGGAAGCTGATCTTCTTTCCTTCCTCAAAAGGACGGGTAGGAATCCTGTGGAGGTAACCGTAGCCGATCCCGCATCCCAGGCTGGAGAGATCGGGAAAAACAAAGACATGGTTTACTGAGATCTCAATAGGAAGTGGTGACTGTGTGTGTGTGTTGTACCTGCCCTCGCCTCCCCAGGATCCGTTGGGCGTTATGACCACCTCCCTGCAGTTGTCTGTGTCTGTGTTGTAGACGTAGAGCTTCAGGCCCTTTCCCTCGTGGCTCTCGATCAGAGAGAACAGGTCCTCTGACTAAAGCCAGCCACGGAAACACGAAGATATCAGATGAACCATATAAACAGAAGCAAAGGTGCGACTAATGACTAATGGCTACGGGAACTTTAAGAACCGACAGCCAACCTCATTCATAACAGTGTCGGCTCCGATGATGTAGTCGGTGTGCGGCCGCAGGCCGGCCAGGGCCGCTGGGGAATTGGGCTCCACTTCCTGTTTCAGACAGCAAAAACCGCATGTTGGATCACATCGGCTGGGACGATGGTACGCGCCCGGGTGTTTCCGCGGCTACCCACCAAGACGTGCCACACGTTCTCGTTGGCCCCTTCGAAGCTGCAGAAGCGGATGGACACCCCGAGCAAACCCTGGCCTCCCCACAGGTTGCTGGGAGTCACTGTGGTCTCCCGCAGCTCCAGGGTCTTTGACGAGTACACCAGCATCTTTACTGGTTTCTCCACATTGGCTTTGAGCAAGTCCTTCAAGGTGTCATTGTCTTTGTTCTGGAGGAAAATGAGACGGAGGTGAAGGAAGATGGCCAAGTGATTCAGCAAAACCCCGTGAATGGCGCTCTCTCACAGGGAGAACATCCCAAGTTTTAGAGACAAAAAGGGGTAAACTAGACAAACATTTATTGGAACCTTGGCTACAAATCTATAAATATGTTATTGCTGTGAACATAGCTAGACCGAAAGAAGTAAACGACCGAGAAAGACATTGAAAACGACTCGAGGAGACGTTCGAGCAGGCTGAACGCGGCGTGCTCCTTCTCGCCTCTTTCACCTGATCACTTTTTCGCAGAACACCTGGTTTGTTCCTACATGGCACTAACCTCGACAGAACTGCCTGCCGGGCTTCTGCAGGTGACAGTTCTCGCGAAGCTAGTGACTCGATTGATATGGAAATGAAAACGTCTGCGCGCGAGTCAGACCTTTGCTTGACAGAAACACAAGACAGAAAATACTTTTGAAGGATGCGTGGAATATCTTAGTTCTGGTTCTCTTCACAAACTGCTTTCATGTGTTTTATTACCACTGAATGTAACTGAGACCCAGGCAGTCTAATTACATCCCCTTGTTTGTATAAGTTTTATTGTGTCTTGTAAGCTCAGGTGGACTTAAACACCTGAAGGAGTGTATGACGCATATGAAAATAACTACTACTACACCTCGGCTGCAGCAGCAGAACACAAACAAAAATATTTAAAGGAGGAATTTGGTCGTAAGTATGCATTGTACAAAAAAAGGGAGGGAAAAACACGAATGAAGATCCTCAAAAGAAATCTGATCAGTTGCCTTTTGTGCCAGAAGCACATGCACACAGAAGGTTGTTTTTGAACGGCAGCTTTCTTTAAATTCACAATAACAAACCAGCTGGGGAAAAAAAAACGACTTTAATATACCGAGCTTCAAGTGACACACTGTGATAAATACAAATTAATAAACGGCACAGAGAAGTCTCCCCATTGATGAGTTTATCGTGGCTGAAGATTTGTTCTGCAGGAGGCGATGAGTTACGCTTCTTACCAATCTGTTGTTGTTGATGGAGACGATGAAGTCAAAGAACGGCTCCAGTCCTGCCCGATGCCCCGGCGAGTTCTCCTGGACCTGCGGCGGACATGAGGGACAAACTCAGCGTCTGGATCAACGGGACCCAAAGTGGGTCCCAAAGTGGGTCCTGGAGGGCCGGCATCCTGCACGTTTTAGTTCTCTCCCTGGTTTAACCCATTCATGGCTGAGAAGGCCCGAGAAGAACATTGACATGCTGAGAAGGTTGTTACTACTACCAGCCAGAGAACTAAAGCATGCAGGATGCCGACCCTCCAGGACTCACTTTGGGCACCCCTGGTCTGGACACACACAACACACCCACTTTTTAAAATATATACATACATCCTTTAGTTTTGTCAGATCAAAACTCACAAAAACAAGTCTGTCAAGTGGGACTTTTGTTGAGAGGGCAAGCTCTTGTGTCGTTCTTGTGAATGTTTATGAAGTCTGAGACAAGTTTATTGGCTTCCCTTCTGGTTGGGCTAATCAAGAGTGTTCACAACTCGGTTTTAACGAGCCAAATCTTGGTGCGCGGCTTTGACCGTCCAGTCATGCTTCGCAGTTCGCGAAAGACCGAAAGTCCACGGAGCTAAAAAGGCAACGTCCGATAATGGATGCAGCCTTCAAGGCAGCTGTCACTCCTCTCCCGAGCTTTAGCCTGTCTCCAGCCCTGCTGATGCCCAGCTTCCGGCTGGAATACCGACTTAAGATTACCTGGAGACATCCGCATGAGCGCTCCAGACGACTTCAGACACTAGAAAACACACTGCAGTTCCCGAACACGACGTTGTGTTTTCCATACGGAGGCCGCAGAGACGGACCCCGGCCTCTCATCAATACTCCAAGCCTGGAACTCTCTCCCCTCTACCCGGATGCTAAGCTAGCAGCTAGTAGGCTACAGGTGATTCAAACTCACCCGGAGGACGTGGTAACCCTCTGAGCCTCCACCTGGTATCTCCACGCTCTGAGATGCTCCCATGCTTTGTGTTTTAGGGGCTTTACGGGGCTCTTCAAACGGACAGTTCCCTGGCGGCGGCGGCAAGAAACCTAAACACTTCCACACACCGGGTACACGTCGCCAAATCACTAGCCTTTCAATGCGCAGGCGCCGTTACGTGGCAGGAAATAACGCCCTTTTCTGAAAAAATTTATGTACGGAGTGCTAAAAGTGTGAAATAAATCAGTATTTAAAGTTTCATAGTGAAAAATAAAATCGGAAATAAAATTTTAAAAATTTAAAAGTGCTCTGTGAGTCTGAGGTCATTTTATTTAATACGTTAATTTTACGATGTCAATAAAAAAAAAGCACATCAAATGTTCAATTGTTTTTTTTATGTTTATTTATTTTATAGCTCCTCAATGAACGTGAACTAAACAATTCTGTATGTTTTAATTTATTTACAAAACACATAAGTATTTTTGCTGTCAAGATGATTCTAAAGTTTTGCTTTAGATGAGGCGTAACTTGGGCCAAAATGGTCACCTCAAAGTACTCATATAAATATATTCATAAAATACTTTTTTTTTTAAGTGTTCAATGATGAACCAAGCAAGTAATGTTTTAAATGAAGAAATAAACTTGGCTGTTGTTGTTGGAAAAGGAGGTGTGAATTTGTCTGTATCCAGAACTTAGCCTTACCAATTATGGACTTTTAAAGCTAACTTCCACACCTCTTCCATTATGAGCACGACCAGGTGTTGGGCAAATGTTGGTTGAGACATAATTTCTCTCACACTAATGATACCACTAGACTTGTTTTGATACCTCTCCGTGGATGGAGAGTGAATTACACTTGGTTCAGTAAAGCAGATGTGTACTGGAATTATTTATTTACTGAATTTTGCTCCAAGCTAGGTTGTGCAATAGAAAAGTATGTTTTGGCTTACTTGCATCTTCTGTACATAATATATTAAAGTAGACAACGTGTGAGCAAAGCTTGTATTTTGATTTTGCAAAATACAGTAAATATAATATAATGTACTTATAATGTACTTAAAGATTGGATAAAAGCTTTTGAGACAGAGTTGGTAAAGCATTTTCAAGTGTTCAACTGTATTTTAAATATTGCAAGATAAACATAAAAACATTAATTTAAAAATATATGTTGAAATTTAATTTCTTACACTGATTTCACATTGCAAAATAGGCAATAGGAGAGTCAGGGAACTGTGCAGCAAAAGATACTTAGCTGTATTTGAAAACACTGTAATGTTGACAAAAGAACAATTGGTCAAAAACAACTTGACATCACCTGCCACGGCGCCAAATTTAGCTGTGCAATCAATTGTCTCAAAAATTGCGATAAACGATAATATTGTTTGAAGACCATTTTAAACTGATGCACTTCTAATGACATGATAGTGCAAGCAAATCCTGCCAAAAGTAAATACGGTTTATTTTCAAAAGAATGCGTAATGCTGGAACTGGAAAACAAAAATAAATAAAACAACCAAAAACAAAACATAAAATGAACTCTCTCAGACTCCTTTAACAAAAAATACACTTGAATAAAAACAAAACACAACATAAAACCAAAGTGGAAATAAAAACTACACTCAGATAACACGCAGATAATGAAGTCTGTATACTTTGTTGCCCTTCAATAATTAACAGATTTAGATGGAGAAGATGGGATTATCTGACTACCTGAGGGAATGGTTCACTCCTCCTTTACAGTAAGGAATTGAGGAAGTGAAGGGTCAGTGGAGAGCACCAGAGTTGAGCCTTTTCACATCCAGTGTCATTAATAGAAAGAGAAAAAGGTAGAAAGAAACAATAAAGCTGATAAATTAAAATGAGGTAGATTATTTTCATTTATCTTGCAACTAATTGATTTATTGTTTATCACAACAGGCTAACTTTTGACTCAGTTTCAATCTTGCTTGAGAAATAGGAACATCAGTAAAATATTCAACAATACTGAGATGGCAACTTCTAGATGGCGCCATTGAGCTTTGAATGTCATCTTTGAGAACAGCTGCACCTAATATTTGGGTGCAGAAGGGGGAAATTTGATTTTTAGTGAAATAATCTGTCAATGGAACAAGAACTTTTTAAAGTTGTTGGGGAAAGATGTTACATTTCCTCTGTATGCTGATGACGGCGCAGAGCAGTGTCTATCCTGTGATTGGACAGATCGGTGTCCCTTCTATGATTGGTGACTTCCTGTCCAGCAGGAAGTTGTGAACAGAGCTTAAAAGCTGCTGCAGGACTGCAGATATTCACAGGAAGCTGGACCAGCAATGGCTCTGCAGAAGATTCTGCTGCTGCTGCTGTGGCGAGGTGAGTCAGACACACTGGACACACTGGACACACTTTCACTGGACCCAAGAAGGCTGCTGCTCACTGTCTCTCAAACCTCCCTTTGATAATGTTTCAGACTGAAACTTCTTTGTATATAAATTGTGCTATGTTTTAACCTTGAGCTGTTTATCCTTTTTCTGTTCCAACAGCCATGTTGGAACAGATTTCTGACAAAAGTCCTCATTTTTCTTCTTCAGGGGTTTCAGTGAACTCAGTTGCTTTTCTGCAGAAGAGAATCATTGGAGGTCATGACTGTGATGACAAGGAGCGTCTTTATTATGTTCGACTGGCGATCGTCAAAGGACCGGAAAGGAAAGTCTGTGGTGCATCTCTGATCCACTCTGAGTGGATCTTGACTGCAGCTCACTGCTGGAAGTCGGAGGCAGGATGGTAGGAACAAGATTTTAACACAGTTTAATCTGGAGATGATCAGGTTTTCTGGGTTCATTATAATCTAAAGTTTTTTGCAGGCATCACACAGCAATGTTAAAAGTTCATCCACGGACTGCTAAGCAGGATAATCAGTTAATTGAACACCCTCCTGTGACCTATACTACTGGCAATGACCATGACATCATGTTGCTGAAGCTTCAGAGACCAGTAACAGATGTCCCTCCTGTTCAGCTACCAAATTGCAACAATCGTCTTAAAAAGTAAGTTTTTCTCTGATAAATAACATCACTTCAGGTTTTGTGTCTCCATTTCTCCAGTCCTGCTGCCTCTGCTTCAAGCACACCTGAGTCAGGTAAACAGGCCACCAGCAGAACCAGAACCTGTTTAGCTCAGGTGTGTTGGACCAGAGACCCATGTAAAGGACACAGGACACCATTAATGAGGACAGGAGGTGGACACTCCTGTGTCTGTGGATGAAGGCCTTCATGGATTTATTTTCTGTTCTTTCAATGTGCTTATTAACAATTAATTTTCTACATTGTTATCTTGTATCTTTACATTTTATCCTTATTGTGTTTTAGAGGCGATACAGTTCAACTGGCAGGAGAGGGAGGAATGATAACCGGCCCCAATAATGAGCGATGTGAGAGAAATATTGACGTTATGAGGATAAAATCTTTGTTTCTTTCTCTACATGGAAGGTTGAGTGAATAACATGTTTATGATTCACATGTTTCTCTACAGTAACCTCAGCTCCTATTTCATCACAACTTCAGTGTGTCGACATGAAAGTAGTTGCTGTTTCCCGCGTCAAGAATGGAAGTGGTAGTGTATTTCAAACTAAAACACAGAACAAGGATGCATGTTGTGTAAGGTTGTTTGTTAAATGTCTCTCTGCAGTGATTGGTAGACTTTTTTGTTGCACAACATAAATAAATATATTGATGTAAATTTTTTCATCAGGGCGACTCTGGTTCAGGAGTGATCTTCAACGACATGATTTATGGTGTCATCATTGGAGGTGGAATAACCTATGCATTTCAGCATACGGTTGTTATCATGGATGTGTGTGAATACCTGGATTGGATAAAACAAACAACTGGGCTTAAATAAAACAAACTGTCATAAAATTTTGCTCTACAGGTTTGTAGAATTAGGATGAAGAGATCTTTCTGTACAGAGTTTGTTCTACTTGTGCATGCGTGGGCTCTCTCCGGGTACTCCGGCTTCCTCCCACAGTCCAAAAAAACATAACTGTTAAGTTAATTGGTCTTTCCCAAATTCTCCCTAGGTGAGAGAGTGTGTGCATGGTTGTTTGTCCTGTTTGTTTCTATGTTGCCCTGCGACAGTCTGGTATACCCCACCTCTCGCCCGGAACGCAGCTGGAGATAGGAACCAGCAACTCCTGACCCCAATAAGGACAAGGGTGAACAGATAATGGAAGGAGAAATAGTTTTTAATTTTTCTCACCTGACCTTGACCTCCTTGATAGAGCTTTATCTTTCTCAGAAATCAAAAATAAATCAATAATTGAATGAAAGAGAAACATTTCCTGGCTGATTATTTTTACTTTCATGGTTAAGTTTGTTCAGTTGATATTTTCCCTGAACTGGGTCTAAAAGTTTTAAGTCACACAAACAGGAACATCACAAGTAATATATTTATTCAGTTTATGTCTTCATTTTACAGCAGGAATGAACAAGCAGCATCTAAACTCTGCAGCTCTGGCGATACTATTGATGATTGTACACAAAAATAATGAGATAGAAGTCACATAATAAAACAATTAATAAAAAATCAAATCCGAGTAACTTAAAAAATAATAATTAAAAACCACATTTCAATAAAGACACAAACACATCAAAAAGTTCAGTAATTACAATCTATATAAAAGTCAAAATTTGGAAAGAAAGATAAGCTTTAAGAAAATATTCAAAAACAGGTAACCTTTACAATCTGAAAAGGTTAGAGCCATTCAAAACATGGCTGCACCAGAGGACAAACATGCTCTTCAGAGGTTCACGGTATCATTGCAATACCTTTTTAAATGTATACCCAAACTTTTCAGACTTGAGTGCTCCTTTAAATGTTATGACTTCTGCAGCATATCTGCCTCTTTTATCTGCGGGTGAGCAGATACAAGAGATATAGAAAAGAGAGAGTCCTTTTGTCTATAACAGCGTGTTCCTTCTGAATTTTTTTGTAACATTTCTTGTCTATAAAATCACAAGATTCATAGTTTCTTTTACAGAGGACATTTTAGTTCCATTTGACTCATTTGTATTTCAACAATGTAGCATCAGGGCTTTTTTTCTATTTTAATATTTATGATTGTGCTTAACTTAGTCTTTGTTAGCGCCTTAGCTCCACTTTACACCAATCTAACCTTTAGCCACATAAAACAAATGTTTGCTTTTGATTAGCAGATGAATATATGAACACATCTCTACATAGTCAAATCACAGCTTGTAAATATATTTATAAATGGTTTTAGTTTGCCTTCTGCAATGTCGTTATTGTCAACAAGTTATTATTTGGCGGTTAATCAGGACAAAATACGTTGTTTTGTGGGCTTTTTTTGTCCCTATACTTTCAAATATTTTTGTTTAACAACAGTCTTTATTACTAAACCTTGCTAAACAGATGTTAGTGGCACTATGTGTAATAGCAGTGCAATATTGATGTACATGAATCACATCCTATCATTTCCGGTGCGCAGTGGCCTGCGCAGTTCGGTGGACACATTTTGGCTGCGCTGCATTCAATAAAGTCTGTCACGCAACGTAATAATGGACAAGAAAGAGTTGCAGTGATCTGTATTTGTCTTTAATTTAATTCTATTAAAAACCTGTTTCCCCTATCTGTTACTGTTTTATTCTTACCAACGCCTCTATTTAAAATATTAACAGGTAGGATGTTCTAGTAAAAGGATTAGTGCATACATCTACAGCTTTTCATTTTAAATGGGTAGAATATTCATACAAAGGAAGTAATCTTCTAGCTTCATCATATAAATTGTTCCATTGCTAAGATAAGCATAGCTCCTAAGCTTCCACTTCAGTCCCGTAACTCAAATAATGTTATCCAATGTATTTAACATTAAAATAACCCGTTTTCTGTTTGTAAACATGACGGTAGTAGTTTTGACAGATAGACATAGCTATCTGTCTCTTACTATGGTAGGAAAGTCTGACGAGGAAGCACTGACAGTCACAACACCGGCACCCTCTTTTGGGGGGAAAACCAACCTGACCTTCGCTTTGAGCTGATCATCCAAGCTGGCGGCGATTCTCAGCACGCACGTCTTCAACCGGTGTTTGAGCACCAAACGTTTGGGCCAATGAAACTTTGCAACTTCTGCTTTTTCTCTGTACGAGTCTCGAGATTGAATTAGTTTTACCCATTTTTGAATATTTTCTTAAAACTTCTCTTTCATTTAAGATTTTGACTTTTAAATTGTTGATCTTTTTATTTTGTTTGTATTTTCACTGAAAATTGATTTTTTAAATTTATTTTTAAGTCAGTATAATTTCATTGTTGGTTAATTGTTGCATTATGTGTCTTCTGTTTCACTATCAACTGAACAAACTGAACCATGAATGTCAAAATAATCAGCCAGGAAATGTTTCTTTCATTCATTTATTTTTAATTTCTGAGAAAGACAATGCTCCATTAGGGAGGTCAAGATCAGGTGAGAGAAAACAAAACTATCAATTCATCTTAATTTTAGAAACCCGTTGAGTAAACTGATCAAGACACAGCTATAAAATTGTATCTGAGAGGAAATTTGATAAGATTTTATTTCATATTTTGTTTTATTTAAGCCCAGTTGTTTGTTTGATCCAATCGAGGTATTCACACACATCCATGACACCAACTGGATTCAGACATGCCTGTTGTACATCACCAACAGAAATGACACCATAAATCATGTTGTTGAAGATCACTCCTGAACCTGAGTCGCCCTGTAGAAAAATGTACATCAATATATGTATTTATGTTGTGCAACAGAAAAGTCTTTTAATAATTCAAAAAACAAACTTACAAAACATATATCCTTGTTGGGTGCTTCAGTTCCAAATATATGCCCCGACAACTGTACGGATGGGGGCATCCCTGCAGCAACTTTCATGTCGACACACTTAAGTTGTGATGAAATAGGAGTTGGGGTTACTGAAGAGAAACATGTGAATCATAAACATGTTATTCACTCAACCTTCCCTGTAGAAAAAGAAACAAAGATTTTATCCTCATAACGTCAATATTTCTCTCACATCGCTCATTATTGGGGCCGGTTCTCTTTCCTCCCTCTCCTGCCAGTTGAACTGTATCGCCTCTAAAACACAATAAGGATAAAATGTAAAGATACAAGATAACAATGTAGAAAATTAATTGCTAATAAGCACATTGAAAGAACAGAAAATAAATCCATGAAGGACTTCATCCACAGACACAGAAGTTTCCACCTCCTGTCCTCATTAATGGTGTCCTGTGTCCTTTACATGGGTCTCTGGTCCAACACACCTGAGCTAAACAGGTTCTGGTTCTGCTGGTGGCCTATTTACCTGACTCAGGTGTGCTTGAAGCAGAGGCAGCAGGACTGGAGAAATGGAGACACAAAACCTGAAGTGATGTTATTGATCAGAGAAAACTTACTTTTTAAGACGATTGTTGCAATTTGGTAGCTGAACAGGAGGGACATCTGTCACTGGTCTCTGAAGCTTCAGCAACATGATGTCATGGTCATTGCCAGTAGTATAGGTCACAGGAGGGTGTTCAATTAACTGATTATCCTGCTTAGCAGTCCGTGGATGAACTTTTGACATTGCTGTGTGATACCTGCAAAAAAATTTTGATTATAATGAACCCAGAAAACCTCATCATCTCCAGATTAAACTGTGTTAAGATCTTGTTCCTACCATCCTGCCTCCGACTTCCAGCAGTGAGCTGCAGTCAAGATCCCCTCAGAGTGCATCAGAGATCCACCACAGAAGTCCATGACCGGTCCTCTGAGCATCACAAGTCGAACATGATAAAGACGCTCCTTGTCATCACAGTCATGACCTCCAATGATTCTCTTCTGCAGAGAAGCAACTGAGTTCACTGAAACCCCTGAAGAAGAAAAATGAGGACTTTTCTCAGAAATTAGGTACAAACATGGCTGCTGGAACAGAAAAAGAATAAACAGCTAAAGCTTAAAAAGCATCACAATTAATATGCAAAGAGGTTTCAGTCTGAAACATTATCCAAGGGAGTTTTGATAGACACAGTGAGCAGCAGCCTTCCTGGAACCAGTGAAAGTGTGTCCAGTGTGTCTGACTCACCCAGCCCCAGCAGCAGCAGCAAAACCTTCTGCAGAGCCATTGCTGGTCCAGCTTCCTGTGAATGTCTGCAGTCCTGCAGCAGCTTTTAAGCTCTGTTCACAACTTCCTGCTGGACAGAAAGCCACCGATGACAGGAGGGACACCGATTTGTCCAATCACAGAATAGACACTGCTCTGTGCTGTCATCAGCATACAGAGGAAATGTAACATCTCATCTTTCTCAAGTGAACTGAGAGACTTGAACTTGAAACTGGACTTTTCATGAATAGGTTTGTGGAGGTGGTGAGTCAGACGCTTGGACACCAAGGATAAGGTGAAAAAATGAAGTTTAATGGTGATGACAGTCAAAAAAACAAAACCACTGTAGGTCTACGGCCAGGCAGCATGGTTGAGCAGAGGCCAGGGCTCAACTCTGGTCCAACTGGTCAAACGGGTGGACAGGTAAGACAGACTCATGCGAAATATGACAAGGACCCGATGAGGAACAAAGGACACAGGAGGTATTAAATACATGGAGGGTAATTATGAAGACAAGACATACCTGAGTAATTAAGAGGAACACAGGACAACAAGGGGACTCAGGGACACAGAAAACTCAAAATTAACACAGAAAAACACGGAACATGAAAGGACCAACAATAATTGGTAAATGTTCTGCAGTGCACAAACTTGCAGTAAATTTTTCTCAAGGGAAATCTTGATTAAATAAAATTAATTAAATGAAGAAATAGTGACTCGTCCTTGTTTTCAGGTTTTTTGGGGGTTTTTTTCTTTCAAAAAAAACTGTTTGGTTTCCAATCTACAATAATTCACATCTGCTTTAGCTCCCAAAAGTAGAATCATTTTGTTTATTTTTGAGCTATGAAAACGATGCTCCATCCAAATGAAAACCTCCTTCATGCAGGAGGTTTTCTTTAGCCTCCATTTTAGTCACCTTGTGAGCCTCCATGCTGGCCTTCATCTTTGTGTCCATGCTAAGCTCTGTGCAAGTCTCCATGCTGGTTTGGTGATGATCTGGTGAGCAACAGTCGGTAACACTGTATTTCACGGGTTGTGAATAAGACTGTCATGACACCGTCATAAACATGACATAACACCTGTCATGTACATGAGTAAGTCTGTCATGAGTATTTATTTAACAACATAAAGCTACATCATTGTTGAAGTTTAATCAGTAATACTTTTGTAGCAAATTTGTGTCAGATCCTTATTTCTTGGTTAATGTCAAGTTGTCATAAAAGACATTTTGAATAATGTCAACTTGGTATTAAAAGTGTCATGATGTACCAAATTACACTTTATGACAACAGTCAGGAAGACTTAATTATGTTCATGAGAGGTTTTATGTCATGTTTGCGATGGTGTTATGACAGTCTTATTCACAATCCGTCAAATAAAGTGTTGCCCAACAATTTGGGATTTGACTAATTCAAGATGTGATTACGTATTCATTTGCTAATCGGAACCCCCCCAAAAAACATCTGTTTTATGTGGCTAAAGCTTAATTTGGTGTAAAGTGGAGCTAATGTGCTAAAAAGATCAAGTTAAGCACAAAGAGAAATACAAAAAATAGGAACAAGCCCTCATGCTCCATTGTCAAAAACAAAAAGACTAATGGAACTCAAATAAAAGAAACTATGAATCTTGTGATCTTATCGGCAACAAATGTAGCAAAACATTCATAAGGAACACGATGTTATGGACAAAAGGACTCTTTGTCGTTTCTCTATCTGTTTTATCTGCTCACGCTGATGTAACCATAACATTTAAGACTAAAAACATGGCTGAAACCAATGAGTAAAAAGTTGGCAAGTTCAATATGATTCTCAAAGCCTATCAGACATGATCTTGACATTTGCCAAGATGGACCTTCCGTACGTCGGTCCATCTTGGCAAATGTCCATCTTGCCAATTTAAAGGAAAAGAGGAAAGTAAAGTAGCACTTATAGAGGAAAAAGTTGTAAAGAGTAAAACCTGTCTGTACAGCTAAATGAGCATGTAAGATAATATGTAAGACCAGTTAATCTGCAGAACCTCTCTGAACTAATTCCTTGTCGTCTTCTGCCCTGTTCTCCCAGCCTTGGCTCTGGGCTGTCAAGATCATCCCAGATCATCCGATTATTCCCATGTTGGAGATTTTAGTGTAGCAGTAACAATACATGAAGTTATCTTAAAATAAAACCATCTCAAAATTGTGTTTTTGAGATGGTTTTATTTGTTGTTAGCAAAGCGGTGGAAATGGGCTTCCATAGGTTTGCGTCCACATTGAACACAGAGACAAAGCAAACATGGCTTTGTTTTTCATTTTTCTTCTCCCCTCCTTCCCCTGTCCATCCCTCTCTCGACCATCTTTTCCTTATTTTCGTAATGTCCCCTACCTCTCAACATACGTCCATCCATCCTTCCTTCTTTCCTTCCTTCCTACTTTCCATCCATACCTCCATCCTACTTTCCTTCCTTCTTCCATTCCTACCTGCCTGCCTACCTACCTACCTACCAACCTATCTTCTGTACGTCAGTCTGTCCATCCATCCATTCGTCCGACCATCCGTCCTTCCTTCCTTATTTCCTAACTTCCTTTCTTCATTCCTATCTTCCTTCCTTCCGTCCATCCATCCAACCATCCTTCCTTCTTTCCTTCCACCCGTACAACCGTTCTTCCTTCCTTCCGTCTTTCCATCTTTCCTTACTGCTTGCCTTTATTCCTACCTTCCTTTCTTCTGTCCGTCCGTGCGTCCGTCCAACCATCCATCCATCCTTTCTCCTTCTGTCCATTCGTCCGTCCTTCTGTCTTTCCTTACTTCCTAAAAGTGTGACATGAGTTTTAAGTCACACAAACAGGAACATCAGAAGTAATTTATTTATTCAGTTTATGTCTTTATTTTACAGCAGAAATGAACAAGCAGCATCTAAACTCTGCAGCTATGGCGATACTATTGATGATTGTACACAAAAATAATGAGATAGAAGTCACATAATAAAACAATTAATTAAAAAATCAAATCCGAGTAACTTAAAAAATAATAATTAAAAACCACATTTCAATAAAGACACAAACAAAACAAAATGTTCAGTAATTACAATCTATATAAAAGTCAAAATTTGGAAAGAAAGATAAGCTTTAAGAAAATATTTAAAAACAGGTACCCTTTACAATCTGAAAAGGTTAGAGCCATTCAAAACATGGCTGCACCAGAGGACAAACATGCTCTTCAGAGGTTCACTGTATCATTGCAATACCTTTTAAATGTATACCCAAACTTTTCAGACTTGAGTGCTCCTTTAAATGTTATGACTTCTGCAGCATATATCTGCCTGTTTTATCTGCGGGTGAGCAGATACAAGAGATATAGAAAAGAGAGAGTCCTTTTGTCTATAACAGCATGTTCCTTCTGAATTTTTTTGTAACATTTGTTGTCTATAAAATCACAAGATTCATAGTTTCTTTTACAGAGGACATTTTAGTTCCATTTGACTCATTTGTATTTCAACAATGTAGCATCAGGGCTTTTTTTCTATTTTAATATTTATGATTGTGCTTAACTTAGTCTTTGTTAGCGCCTTAGCTCCACTTTACACCAATCTAACCTTTAGCCACATAAAACAGATGTTTGCTTTTGATTAGCAGATAATATGTGAACACATCTCTACATAGTCAAATCACAGCTTGTAAATATATTTAAATGGTTTTAGTTTGCCTTCTGCAATGTCGTTATTGTCAACAAGTTATTATTTGGTGGTTAATCAGGACAAAATACGTTGTTTTGTGGGCTTTTTTTGTCCCCGTACTTTCAAATATTTTTGTTTAACAACACTCTTTATTACTAAACCTTGCTAAACAGATGTTAGTGACAGAAAGTGTAATTTTTATGTACATGAATCACATCCTATCATTTCCGGTGCGCAGTGGCCTGCGCAGTTCGGTGGACACATTGTGGCTGCGCTGCATTCAATAAAGTCTGTCACGCAACGTAATAATGGACAAGTAAGAGTTGTGGTGATCTGTATTTGTCTTTAATTTAATTCCATTAAAAACCTGTTTCCCCTTTCTGTTACTGTTTTATTCTTACCAACGCCTCTGTATTTAAAATATTATTAACAGGTAGGATGTTCTAGTAAAAGGATTAGTGCATACATCTACAGCTTTTGATTGTAAATGGGTAGAATATTATACAAAGGAAGTAATCTTCTAGCTTCATCATATAAATTGTTCCAATGCTAAGCTAAGCATAGCTCCTAAGTTTCCACTTCAGTCCCGTAACTCACATAATGTTATCCAATGTATTTAACATTAAAATAACCCGTTTTCTGTTTGTAAACATGACGGTAGTAGTTTTGACAGATAGACATAGCTATCTGTCTGTTACTATGGTAGGAAAGTCTGACGAGGAAGCACTGACAGTCACAACACCGGCACCCTCTTTTGGGGGGAAAACCAACCTGACCTTCGCTTTGAGCTGATCATCCAAGCTGGCGGCGATTCTCAGCACGCACGTCTTCAGCCGGTGTTTGAGCGCCAAGACGTTTGGGCCAATGAAACTTTCCAACTTCTGCTTTTTCTCTGTACGAGTCTATCGAGATTGAATTAGTTTTACCCGTTTTTGAATATTTTCTTAAAACTTCTCTTTCATTTAAGATTTTGACTTTTAAATTGGTGATCTTTTTATTTTGTTTGTATTTTCACTCAAAATAGATTTTTTAAATTTATTTTTAAGTCAGTATAATTTCATTGTTGGTTAATTGTTGCATTATGTGTCTTCTGTTTCACTATCAACTGAACAAACTGAACCATGAATGTGAAAAAAATCAGCAAGGAAATGTTTCTTTCATTCATTTATTTTTAATTTCTGAGAAAGACAATGCTCCATTAGCTAGGTCAAGATCAGGTGAGAAAAAACAAAACTATCAATTCATCTTAATTTTAGAAACCCGTTGAGTAAACTGATCAAGACACAGCTATAAAATTGTATCTGAGAGGAAATTTGATAAGATTTTATTTCATATTTTGTTTTATTTAAGCCCAGTGGTTTGTTTGATCCAATCCAGGTATTCACACACATCCATGACACCAACTGGATACTGACATGTCTGTTTCTCATCTACAATAGAAATGACACCATAAATCATGTTGTTGAAGATTACTCCTGAACCAGAGTCGCCCTGTAGAAAAATGTACATCAATATATGTTTTTATGTTGTGCAACAGAAATGTCTTTTAAAAATTCAAAAAAACAAACTTACAAAACATACATCCTTGTTGGGTGCTTCAGTACCAAATATATGCCCCGACAACTGTACGGATTGGGGCATCCCTGCAGCAACTTTCATATCGACACACTTAAGTTGTGATGAAATAGCAGATGAGGTTACTGAAGAGAAACATGTGAATCATAAACATGTTATTCACTCAGCCTTCTCTGTAGAGAAAGAAACAAAGATTTTATCCTCATAACGTCAATATTTCTCTCACATCGCTCATTATTGGGGCCGGTTCTCTTTCCTCCCTCTCCTGCCAGTTGAACTGTATCGCCTCTAAAACACAATAAGGATAAAATGTAAAGATACAAGATAACAATGTAGAAAATTAATTGCTAATAAGCACATTGAAAGAACAGAAAATAAATCCATGAAGGACTTCATCCACAGACACAGGAGTTTCCACCTCCTGTCCTCATTAATGGTGTCCTGTGTCCTTTACATGGGTCTCTGGTCCAACACACCTGAGCTAAACAGGTTCTGGTTCTGCTGGTGGCCTGTTTACCTGACTCAGGTGTGCTTGAAGCAGAGGCAGCAGGACTGGAGAAATGGAGACACAAAACCTGAAGTGATGTTATTGATCAGAGACAAACTTGCATTTTAAGACGATTGTTGCAATTTGGTAGCTGAACAGGAGGGACATCTGTTACTGGTCTCTGAAGCTTCAGCAATATGATGTCATGGTCATTGCCAGTAGTATAGGTCACAGGAGGGTGTTCAATTAACTGATTATCCTGCTTA